ATATATATTCAATTTTATTTGGATGGAATGTTCTGTAGAGATTTGTCAGACCCTTTTGATCAAGGGCTCTGTTCAGGTTTATTATTTCTTTGCTTATTTTTTGTTTGGACAATCTATCCAGATCATTCAGTGGGGTGTTGAAGTCCCCTGCTACTATGGTAGTGTTGTGTAACATGGTGTTTAGATTAGACACTGTTTGCTTTATGTAATTGGGTGCTTCTGCATTGGGTGCATAAATATTAAGAATTGTTAAATCTTCTTGTTGGATCTTCCCTTTTACCATTATAAAATGGCCATCTTTATCCTTTTTTACTGTTTCTGTTTTAAAGCTTATGTTATCTGCAAATAGTATAGCTACCCCAGCTTTTTTTTTACTTCTGTTGGACTGGATGATAGTTTTCCATCCCTTGATCTTCAGCTGGAAGGCATCCTTGTGGGTTAGATGTGTTTCTTGTAGACAGCAGATATTAGGTTGTGGGTTTTTGTCCACTCTACCAGTCTATGTCTCTTCAGGGAACAGTTTAAGCCATTTACATTTATTGAGAGGATTGAAATTGGAGGAAGAATTCCATTCATATTGTTGGGTGGAGTCTTGTTGCTTTGTCTTACTCTTTGAGCCATCATGTAGTTCGAGATCTACATTTTAATTATTTGAAGATTTTACTTTGAGGAGTGTCTATTGCCCTATTCAGTTAGAAATGTAGGTCTGAGAACTTCCTGTAGGGCTGGTCTGGACTTTGCAAATTCCTTCAGTGATTGCTTGTCTGAGAAGGATTTTATTTTTCCCTCATAGATGAAACTTAGTTTTGTCAGATAAAGAATTCTAGGTTGGGCTTTGTTTTGTTGTAGAACATTAAGAATAGGCACCCAATCCCTCCTGGCTTGTAATATTTCAGATGAGAAGTCTGCTGTTTGTCTGATAGGTTTTCCTTTATAGGTTAATTGTTGTTTTCGTCTCACTTCATGGAGGATTGCTTCTTTCACATTTACTTTGGTCAACCTAATGACCATGTGGTAGGGTGATTGACTTTTCATGTTGAGTTGCCCAGGAGTTCTGTGTGCTTCTTGTATTTGGATATCCAGATTTCTGGCCAGGCCTAGCATATTTCCTCTAGAATTCTGTGAAATAAGTTTTACAGCCCTTGTGCTTGCCTCTTCCCCTTCCATAATCCCGATCACCCTGAGATTCGGCTTTTTTTACATAATCCCACACTTCTTGTAGGCTTTGACCTTGTCTCTTGTTTCTGTGTTCCCTATCTTCCTCTGATTTGTTTAGGGCATAGGCATAATCTTTGAGCTCTGAGATTCTTTCCTCTGCATGGTCCATCCTGTTCTTGATGCTTTCCACGGTATTATGGAGATCCTTGATTGTTTCTTTCATTGCCAAAATTTCTGATTGGTTTTTCTGGATAATTTCAATTTCTTTGGAGAATTTTTGATTCATTTCCTGGATTGTTCTTCTGGTATCTCTGTGTTGTGATTCTATTTTCTCTTCAATTCCGTTGAGTTTTCTAACAATCCATATTCAAAATTCTTCCTCCATCAGTTTGATCATATCATGTAAGTTGGTGTCAGTTGATGGAGGTCAAGTGTTTTCTTTTGGAGGTGACTTTTCTCTCTGCTCCTTCATGTTTCCTGTGATCTTCCACTTGTTCTTTCTCATCTGTGTTTTGTTGGGGACCAGAGGTGTTAGGACTGAGTTATGGGCTAAATTCTGGGGTTCCTAAGGAATGATCTTTGGCAGGGCTGGGAATATGTGTTCTGGTCCTGTGTCATCTTAGAGGAGTTTGAGTCTGTTGGGTTATCTTTGATCTAATGTCTTCGCCTTATGTCTATAGAGATTTATGGGTTTAGGATCCTTGCTTAGAGATTCAGGGGTTGGATAACTCTTGTGAGCATAAGTTTATTCACAACTCCTAGGTTGAAGTGGAAAGGACTATGATAGACTCTGAGATTACTCTCTCTTTTGTTTCCTGAGACCTCTAAGAGTCCCCAACCAGAAAGAGTCCTGCCACGTCGCTTAAGTCCTGTCGAGTTGAGGTCAGACCCTTCTGTACGAAGTCCCAGTGGGTTTGTTGCCGCTAAGGGTATTCTTCAACCTCAGCAAATCTCAGCCCAGGCAATAGATTCTCTCACCCCTCTTTGGTTCTCAGGAATGGGGCTTCCCCTTTGGCTAGGTGCACTGGCTATCAAGCCACAGTAAAGGGGTAGAGAGGGGTCTTAGATTGATAGGCTGCCTTGGTAGGCTGTTAGAGCCACCTTTCTCTAGCCAGAGCCAACAAGGAGGTGGGAGCAAAGCAGAGGTGACAGACTTGCAATCCGGGTTTCAGGATGGACAGTCTCTTTCTCAACACTGCTTAGAGGCAGAGTCAGAACCTGTGGTGTGAAGCGCCCAAGTCGTAAGAGAGTGTGGATGGTAATGTCTTTCCTAATCATATTTGGAAAAACAACCCCTTTTGCAACTCCGCCTTGCCAAGCCAGGCTCACCTTTCTGGACTTCGAGCGTGGGTGGCTTGCGTAGGGAGAGACCTCCCAAGGTCAGACTGGTGGAGCAGTCATGCGACCGCCACTCTCTGCCTTCTTTCTCTTTGAATACTGAGATTGAGACAAGCACCAGGAATGGGAACAGTCTTTTTCTCAGCTCCTCCCCAAGGTGGATTCAGAACCTTTGGCTTGAAAAGCCCAGACCTGAGTTGCAGGAGGGTGTGGATAATAATGTCTCTCCCAGATAAGTTTGGGAAAACAGCCTCCTTCACAACTGCGCCTTGCCAAGCCAGGCTCCTCTCTCTGGATGCAGAGTGCGAGCGCCAGGAGAAGTGACAGACTTTCCAGGATCAGACTGATGGGGCAGTGGCGTGAGCTGCCACTCTCAGTTCTCTGACTCTCCAAACACAGAGTTGGGGACCAGCGACAGAAATGGGAACAGTCTCTTTCCCAGCTCTGCCCCAAGGTGGAGTTGGAACCTTTGGTGTGAAGCGCCCAGTCCCAAGTCACAGGAGGGTGTGTTTGAAAGTGTCTCTCCCATGTATATTTTGGAGAAACAGCCTCCTTCGCAACTGTGCCTTGCTGAGCCAGGCTCCACTCTCTGGACGAAGAGCATGGGTTCCTGGAGAAGCGAGAGACTTCTCAAGATCAGACTGGTGGGGGCAGTGGCCCCAGCTGCTACTCTCAACTCTCCATCTCTTTAAACACAGAGTTGGTGGCTAGCGGCAGAAATGGGAACAGTCTCTCAGCTCTGCCCCAAGGCTAGGTTGGAACCCTTGGTGTGAAGCACCAGGTCCCAAGTCATAGGAGAGTGTGGATGGAAGTGCCTCTCTCATTTATATTTTGGAGAAACAGCCTCCTTCACAACTGCACCTTGCCAAGCTGGGCTCCACTCTCTGGACACAGAGCAAAGGTGCCTGGAGAAGCGAGAGAATTCCCAGGATCAGATAGGTGGGGCAGTGGTGTGAGCTGCCACTCTCAGCTCTCTGTCTCTCCAAACACAGAGTCGGGGACCAGTGGCAGAAATGGGAATAGTCTCTTTCCCAGCTCCACCCCAAAGCTGGGTTGGAACTTTTGGTGAGAAGCGCCCAGATCCAAGTCATAGGAGGGTGTGTTTGAAAGTGTCTCTTCGATTTACATTTTGGAGAAACAGCCTCCTTCTCAGCTGCGCCTTGCTGAGCCAGGCTCCGCTCTCTGGATGCAGTGTGTGAGCATCTGGAGTAGCTAGCGACCGCCTAAGATCACATACCCCGTACCTTGATTCCTTCTCCACTGCCCCTCCAAACACAGAGTCCATGTCAACCACAGTAATGGGAAGATGGGAGTGGTGTTGGAGGAGTAGGGGGACTTCCCCCAACTCATGGAGGCCCCGAGGTTTGAGGAACCTAGCTTTGGGCTGTCTGTCCACTCCGCCCCAGCCAAAACCTCATCTATATCTATGGTTGAAGCATCCTTTCAGGTCTACTCCTCTCAACATGGACCTGCAAGTGAGAGGCCAGAGTGGGCCCTTGCTCCCGCCAAGCAGAGGAGCGTCTGCTGGGTTTGGACCCTCCCCCACCTGAAACTGCCTCAGCCTCACATTAAGGAGAGTTCACGATGTTCCCTGATCCAGTCTCTCCACTCCAGTGGATCCAGTTCCCTGATCCACTCTCCACATGCACTTCCTGGCCCATGTGGGTGTGGAGCTAGGTGGATGGGGGGTGTCTCCCAGCACCAGGTGGGGCTGATGCCACAGCTGGCCGGCTGCCGGGGAAACCTCACCTCGCTCCCTCCCTGTTGTATATTTCCGATTCCCCTGGTTTAGCGAGAAATATCCCATCCACCTTTGATTTCTGCTGAAGACTCTCTTATCCCTCCATTTCCCAGTGGATGTCTACAGGCTTGCGAATCGGGTCCTGTGGAAGTGCAGATCGTTCATGTGTGTTTGTCTGCTTTCTCCACTTTCCACTTTGGGAGCAGAGAGCCCGGGGGACACCCCTACTCAGCCATTTTTCCCCTCCCCTAAGAAGCTTTTGAATTTGATCAGGACCCATTTATTTATTTTTGTTGTTGATGTGATTGCGTTTGGTGTATTCTTTATAAAATTTATTTTTTATTTCAGCATATTACAGGGGTACAAATGTTTAGGTTACATATATTGCCCTTGCCCCTCCCAAGTCAGAGTTTTAAGCATGTCCATCCACCAGATGGTGCACGCTGCACCACACCAATTAGAAATGTTACTACTATATGTAGTAGAACTTAAGTGTTCTTCAGTTGTTATCAATTTGATGGTGAGTAAATGTGGTGCTTGTTTTTCCATTCTTGTGCTACTTCACTTAGTAGAATGGTTTCCAGCTCTACCCAGGATAATACAAGAAGTGCTAGATCGCCATTTTTCCCTAGGCCAACCGAAACAGGGTCCACACCTCTCGTCTCTCACAAAAATCAACTGATGGTGGATAACAACCAAAGGCGTGAAATTATAAGTAAGATTCTAGAAGAAAATGTTGTAAAATTGAATTCTTAATTCTTACCTTCTCTACATCTCCCAGGCCCTCAGTGTCAAGCAGAACTAGGATGTTGTCAGGCTTGTAGAGATGGGGCACACACCACATCCAGATTCCCTTGGTGTGATATTGCACTGTGCTGCCCAGAGAGAAGCCTGCAAGGGTGAGTGGAGATAAGAGGGGATAGAATTTCAATATCAGGCAGTTCAGGAAATGCAGATGAAAGTTGGTGTAATCAAAGTTAGGAACCATAACCTATACCACAACCTACATTGATCTTATTTGGAATCAGAGAAATAGAGAAAGTAGATGAAAAAAATTCGACAGATTCATGAAAGAAACAATCAACAAACAAGCAATATAAGGAACTTATATCAACATAATAAAGGCCATATATGAAAAAGCCACAGCCATCATCATACTCAACGGTGAAAGACTGAAAGCTGTTCCTCTAAGATCAGGAACCAGAGAAGGATGCCCACTTTTGCCACTTGTGCTCAACATAGAACTGGGAGTCTTACCCAGAATAACTAGGCAGGAAGAGCAAATAGAAGGCATTCAAAGTACAAAGGAAGAATTAAAATGATCTGCTAACAGATGACATGATCTTATGTGTAGAAAACCTTAAATATTACACAAAGGAAATATTGGAAATAATAAAAGATTCAGCAAATTTCCAGTGTACAAAATCAACTTGCAGAAATCAGTTGCACTATTATACACTAACAATGAACAATCTGAAAATAAATTAAGAAGATTGCATTAATAAGAGCATCAAAAGAATAAACTACTCATCAATAAACTTAAACAAGGAAGTAAAAGACATATAGTGAAAATGATAAGATCGTGTTGAAAGAAATTAAAGACACAAATAAATAGAGAGACAACCTGAGTTGATGGCTTGGACAACTTAATATTTTTGAGATGTCACTACTACCAAAGTGATACACATATTCAGTGAAATTCCTATATAATTCCAAATTATAGTTTTGTAAAAATATAAAAATCCACTGTAAATTTGATATGAAATCTCAACATACCTCCAAAGAGATCTCCAAAGAGTAAAAAGACTCTGGAAAAGGAAAAATAAAGCTAAGGTCTCACACTTTCTGAGTTCTGAAACTTACTGTTAGTAACTAAGTAATTAAAACTGTGGTACTGGCTTAAGTCTGACATAGAGACCAATGGAAGAGAATAGAGACCCTAGAAATAAACTTTTACATATATGGCCAAATGACTCTCAAAAGGGTTCAAAATCATTCAATGGTGAAAGGAGAGTCTCTTCAACAAATGATGTTAGGAAAACAGGATGTCCATGTGCAAAAAGAAGAAGAAGATGAAGACGAAGACGAGAAGAAGAAGAAGAAGAAGAAGAAGAAGAAGAAGAAGAAGAAGAAGAAGAAGAAGAAGAAGAAGAAGAAGAAAGAAGAAGAAACGGATGGTTACTTTACCCCGTTGATCCATAAAAAATTATGTCAAAATAGATCAAACACCTAATGTTAGACCTAAAACCATAAAACTCATAGGCAAAAACATAGGGGAAGAGCTTTGTAAATTGAATTTCTCAATAACTTCTTGGATATGACACCAAAACCATAGACAACACAAGAACAAATACCTATCTTTGTCTTCATCAAAATTAAAAACTTTCATATATCAAAGGATACTATCAACAGAGTGAAAAAGCAACACATGGAATGGGAGCAAATATTTGCTAGAAATGTGTCTGAGGTGGGATTGATATTCATAATATATAAAGAATTCCTACAATGAAACACAAACAAAGAAAAATAAATAAAACAGATTACATAACGAACAAATGACTGGCATAGACATTTTTCCAAGGAAGATTTATAAATTGCCAAAGGTACAGGAAAAGATGCAGAACATCACAAGTCATTAGGGAAATGCAAATGAAATAAACCACACTGAGATTCTACTTCACAACCATTAGGATGGCCACTACCAAAATACCAGAAAATCAAGTGTTGGAGAGAATGTGGAAGACTAGAACTCATGTGCATTTCTGGTGGGACTTTAAAATGATACGTCACAGTGGAAAACAGTATAGTGATTCCTTAAAATATTTAAATATAGAATGACCATATGACACAGCAATGCCACTTCTTGGTATAAACGCAAGAGATGGGAAAGCAGGGACTCAGATATTTGTATATCCATGTTCATTTCAGAAGTGTTTGTAATAGCCAAAACATAGAAGTAACTCAAGTGTCCATCGGCACACAAACAGATAAACAAGTTGATATATACATGCAATTATTCACCTTTAAAAAGGAAGAGAGTTTTGAGACATGCTACAACATTGCTAAAACTTTGAGACAGTATGCAAATCGAAATAAGCCAGGCACAAAACGACAAATACTGTATGATCCCACTTAAGAGGTTTCTATAGCAGTCAAATTCAGAGTCCTGAGTGCTAACCATTATGTAATGTAAGGGTAGTCAAAGTCACAGAAACAGAATGTAGAATGGTGGTGGGAAAGGGGTGAATGTGGAGCTTTTGTTTAATGGGTACAACATTTCTGTTGGGGAAGATGAAAAAGTTCTGGAGATGAATGGTGGTGATGGCTGCACAACAATGTGAATTACTTGAACCCACAGATGGTACTGTTAAAAGTTGTTAGAAGGGTTGTAGGGCAAGGTGGTATGTTCCTATAATCCCAGGTTCATGGGAGATTCCCTTAAATGCAGGAATTCTTGACCATCCTGAAAAACATAGGGAGACCTTGTCTCAAAAAGAAAAGATTATAAGGGTAAATTTTATGTTATGTATATTTTATAATAAAAAAGAATATCCACTATAGCGTGAAACATTTTTCTAACCTTAGTGATCAGTGGAAACTTGCTGTTATTATGTGAACATTGTAATAAATGTCTTATATTTCATTACAGTTCCTTATGTCCATTAATTATTACCAGCTTACTCCTAGGAAAGGAGTGATATTTGCTTTTAAAAAAGGAAACTGAGGCATAGTAGGAAAAGTTAGTGAGCTACTCATCTCCTAGAAGAGAGTGAAGACAAAAAGTTCAACCATGATTGTAGAAGTACCTTTCAGTATTCACCCATGTCTTAGTCTATTTAGGGTTGATATAAAGGAGTAGATAAGACGGGGTAATTTATATATCTATATATAGATATATATACACACACAACATACACACATGTATACACATTCATATACATATATGTATACATATATATAAACAGGTTTATTTGGCTCATGGTTCTGAAGGCTGTACAGGAAGCATCACTCCAGCACCTTCATGTGGTGAGGGCCCCAGATACTTCTATTCATGGTGGAAGGTGAAAGGGCGTTTGTATGTGGAGATCACATGTTGATAGTGGAAGCAATATAAAGAGGGGAGGGAGGTGCCAGGCCCTTTATAACTATCAGGTCTTTCAGGAACTAAAAGAACAAGAACTCACTCCTTATCATGAGAATGGCACCAAGTCATTCATCAGGGATCCACCGTTATGACACAAATACCTACCATTAGGTCACCATCTTTAATATTGGAGATCAAATTTCAATATGAGATCTGGAGGTGTCAAACAAATGATATCCAAGCTATAGCAATCCGCATCTCTAACTTTGTCTCCTCATGTACCCAAACTGGATGTTGACAGTATGGGTGGACAGAAGGCTATCATCTGAGCTTTGCTGGTGACACTCACCATTTTTCTTCCCAGCCAGTTTGTTCATCAGGTAAGACTTGCCCGTGCGGTAGAGGCCCACGATAGCCACCACCACCACAGGCTGGGTAATGGCAGACAGGGTCTTCAAAGCTTCCTGATTAGCCACCAGTTGCCCTTTAGTGTTCTCAATGAGACACACTGGGCCTGGCATGTGGATTGCTGAAGCCATGTCCATGGTGTTCCCTTGACTGCAAGAGAAGAGGTGGAATAGATTGACTTTCCAGTCTTTTGCATTCAAAAGGTGGAGTCTTATAATTTTCCAGCATGGTCTAAAAATTCTTTGTGTGTCACCAAGATAAATAATGGAAAACCTGCATCATTACAGAATGTTAAGGGAAGTATTATCAAAGTAGTTTTTTACAAGAATTTTGGAATAACAGTGACTAACATTCAACTACTCTCAAGACCCAAATCTTTCATTTTATTTTCTGTGGGAAACTTTTTTTTTGCATTGGTATTAAAAGTTTACATAAGATAGCAAATGGAAAATACAGTAGGGTTTATTTGTGGAATTTACTTTGCCTACTGGGTATATGTAAATTTTAATGGTTATTAATCTTATATTGAATAAAGATACTGATGAATAAATTTTTCATTGTTTGATGTATGTATGCCCTACGGAAAATTTCCAGATATTTTTTGTTACTTGCAAGACGGAGAACGCTTTTTATTTATTTATGTATTTCATTTTAATTTTTATTAAACAGAAGGCATTGGCTCCGGGTTAATTTGTTATTTTCATTTTAAACTTCGAATCCCTAATTTGAAAGTAGGTCTTTTCGAGCTATAACTTATACACTATAAAATTTACTCTTTATAGTTTTATGAATTTTGATAAATGCATACAATTATGTAACAGCAACCATAATCAAGAACTAGAACAGTTTCATCACATCAGAATATTCTGTCTCTTATGGCCCTATTGTATTAATCTGTCTCCCTGTGATGAGCCCTGGGTAATCACCAATCCATTTTTGTTCCTAAAAGTTTTCTTTTCCAGGATTTCATATAAATAGAATCAGATGGAATATTTTGAGTTTTCTTTTTGCTTAGCATAACGCAACTGAGATTCACCCATATTGTTGTATGAATAGTTTTGTTTCCTTTTAGTGCCAAGCAGTCTTCCATTGTGTGGATGTACCACACTTTGTTTACATATTCACCAGGTGATGAACATTTGGTTGGGTCCAGGTTTTGGTGTTTATGAATAAAACCACTATAAATGTTCACGTAACAGCTGTTGTGTGCACATAGGTTCTTATTTCTTTGGAGTAAATGTGAAGGAATGGGAATATGTCATTGGTATGTATATGTTTAACTATACTTAAAAACCTCCTGTTTTTTCAAAGTGACTTTTTTATTTTGTATTCCCAACAGCAATGATGGAGTTCTAGTAGTTCTGCATTATCATATAGTACTGTAGATTTTTTTTTAAATTGTGTGTGTGTGTGTGTGTTTGTTTGTGTGTGTGTGTGTGAGAGAGAAAGAGAAAGACAGAGAGGAGGAGGAGTAGCAGTAGTATTAATAATACTGGTAGTAAACTGTTGTGATTTGAAATTTCCATTTCTCTAAGACTAACACTATGAAGTATCATCCTATGCTTATTGGGCATCCATATATCTTCTTTGTTGAAGTATCTTTAGATCTTTTGCCCATTTTAAAAATTGCTTGAGTGTGAGAATTCTTTGTATCTTTTAGATTCAAGCTGTTCATCAGATGCATGCTCTGCAAATATTTTATCCTAGGCTATGGTTTGTATTTTCTTATTCACGTAATAAGTCCAATTGATCAATTTTTTCTTACATGGATCATGGTTCTGATATCATCTCTAAAAAGTCTTTGTCTAGACTAGGTCACACACATGCAGAAGAATGAATCAAGATCCCTATCACTTTCTGTATGCAAAAATTAAGACAAAGTGGATTAAAGACTTAGATGTAAGACATGAAAACATAAAAATTCTAGAAAGTTTAGCAATGTCTTGGGAAATTTTGTTATCTCAGAACTTGGAGGCTACTACTGGCATTAAGTGAATAGAGGCCAAGGATTCTGATAAACATTTACAGTGCACAGTATAGCATTCAAACAAAGAATTAGCCGGCTCAAAACATTAATAGTGGCCAGATTGAGAAAGCCAGCTCTAAGCTACAGTAATCAAGACTGTGTCGCATTGGTAAAAGGATAGATCCATAGATCAATGGAACATACATATACTGACATATATGTGGTCTATTGATTTTCAACTAAGATGCACAGGTTGAATGGAGAATGGATAGATCCTTCAATAAATGGTGCTAGAACACCCAGACAAAGTATGCAAAAATACAATAATATTAAGCAATGACCTTGACCTATAAGTCACATTCATATCTGAAAATTGATTCTAAACCTAAATGTAAAGCCTATAATCATAAAACATGTAAAGGAAAATGTAGGAGAAACTATTGTGACCTAGTCCAGAGATTTTAAATGTGTTCCTTCCTCCACCCTTAACTAGTTATGTTTATATTACTGAAATGAAGATCCACAAAACTTCTCACATTACTATTTTGGAATGGAGCCAACATAACTTAATTTTGCAAATTTTATAAAAGTATGTGACCATCTGAAATATATTGCTGGGGACCTTTCTAAAGCCTTGGAAGGGGCACTTGCAAGAGAGGAGGCCTGAAACATGAGCTCCATTGGCTTCACAGCAAATTTTCCTCTAACTCAGTGTGGTATGAGTGCACAATGGCAAATACTGAATGTTGCCAAACAAGATTACGAAATAGGTATTTAAAATCAGGAGACAGATCCAGAGAGCTGGATGGAAGTTGTTTAAAGAGACGATCTCTATTTCCACCTATGCAATTTTAGATTTTCTATTGTGTTCTGTTTTTCCATTTGTTGGAGAAGGAGAGGTAGAAATAGAAGGAGGAGGAGGAAAGGGAGTGGGGAGGAGGAGGAGAGAAAGGTCCAGATGAATGAGGCTGGTGCCTTGCCAAGGCATTCAGGGGAAGAATTTCCAGAAGGTGGATTAAGGTTGTCTGAGGACATGGAAAGGCCAAGATAAACAAAGATGTTCCCCTTACTGAGGCTGTATAGGAAATTCTTTAGAGAAGAAGCCCTTTAGTAAAGTAGTGAGAAGGAATTCTACTTGAACGTGGAGGGGGAGAGTGGGCATTAAATGAATGAGTCTGCACTTTTTCTGAAGGAAGAAATCCACTCTGAAACAAAGTTTAAATATATGGTTTAAAAGTGTGCTGCTTTCCTGAATCTTCAGCCTTCACTGTGGGTTTCAGTTTGTTCCCTCTTTGTCTTTGACAGTGTCAGTGGGGGCTGCTTGGCCTGCATCTCATTCAGTGTTCTTCCCTTCTCATGAAAAGAACCCATCTGTAGCCCTTTCAATTTCTTAGCTGCAGTAGCAGCAGGACAGAACAAACCTCATCAATGACAATGGAAGTTTAATGTTGTCTCCAGTCTACACAGACAATGTCAGCAGACAGAAAAGCAATCCTAGTGCATTTTCAAACCCAGTTTATCCCCTGTCTGCTGGTGGCTAACTCAACACAAGCACAGTAGTGGCACTTAGGGACGTGCTGCCCCATAACATCAGGATTTCAGCTGACCTGTGTCCTACCTCAGGCTCAGTCTAATCTGGTTGTGGTCATTTTTAAGAACTAACTGAACCATGTAAATCCCTTCCCAGCCCTGCCCCAACCTTATAGGCTCCATGTCCCTGAGCAGAGGCCCTTTACAGGTGCAGAGATAGCTGCTTTGATGAAGAGTAGTAAAAGTTCTTACCTGTTTTCTTTCCTCAGTTCGGAGGGAGTGATTTCTCGCACTTCTCTGACTCTGACTGGATCCTCGGACTTTTATTTCACCCCTCAATGTCACGGGATATTTTGGATGTCTGCCAATGTCAAAATAATTACAAGTAAGCAAGCTCTGCATGGGATTTACAGCAATGAGAAACTGAAAGTACTTTGTCCCAGGCAGTAAGTCAAGAAACCATAAAAGGAATCTCTAGAGCTGTGTTTAGTGGGAGAGTTAAAATGATTTCTCAAACAAAAGGTTCAGAGATTTTATTTAATGAGATCTTAGAGATCATTTGCTGGTTAAAAAATGTCCATTAGATATTGAATATAATGGAATATATCTGAAGCTTGGGGGTCAGTGTGAGAATCTTAGAATGAGGAGGCCTTATATTTTTTAGGTTTAATTTCCAAAATAAAGAACACACTCAAAATAGACCTGGTTATTCATTTAGAGATGCGGCAAGTGACGGAAAGAGCACGTCCTACACATTCATGAAAACTGAGCACCCAACCCAGCACCCGGCACATAATGCCCAGTACACAGTCAGCACGCAGGCCTACGTATTGTACACCTGTTCCAGGCTCAATGCAAACTGCTATTATCCAGGTTACTCAGCTTGTGTCTCATAAGTATTTTCCCATCTTTGTCTACAAAACAAGGTAGAGATAGATGTTATCTGTTGTTCAAAATCATGACACTACAAGTGATATGAAACCAATTAGTCTCAACCACCTCACTATGCTGCCTCTCTCTGTTTGCTGAGTGAATAATTGTAAAATAATGACTTCCATTTACTGATTGTTTTCCATGAGCTACATATGTTACCTGTTTAATTCAGTTCTGATTAAAATCATGCAAAAGAGATGGCATTGTATCTATTTTACAGTGAAGACAAGAAGGATGGGGTAGGGTGAGAATATCCCTGCCCAAATTCACTAAGCAAATCATAAAGTTGGGATGCAAATTTTCAACTTTCTTTAACTTTAAACTTTATGCTCTTCTTTCCTCTCCTCATTTCTTCTGTAAGGAAAGAAGACAAAAGAGAGGAGAAAGGGAGAGACTTTTAAGGTTTTATCTGCTGATCTTGCTATACTCTGTGTTTTTGTTGTTGTTGTTTTTTTGAAACAGGATCTTACTCTGTCACCCTGGCTAGAGTGCAGTGGTGTCATGCTAGCTCACTGCAACCTGAAACTCCTGGGCTCAAGAGATCCATCTGACTCAGCGTCCTGAATAGCTAGGACTGCAGGTGTGTGACACCACACATGGCTAATTTTTTCTAATTTTAGCTGTGACAGAGTCTTGTATATTGTGGTCTTGTTCCACACTTAGAAGACAGTGTCTGAAATTTGACAAATGAAGATGTACGTTCTCTTTTCTCTTAGTCTTTTTCAATATCATTTTAAATAT